GACAAGGAGTTGCCATCCCCCACCAGGCCTGATTAATGGGGTGGCTGAGGAGGGCAAAAGCGGGGTGTGGGAGTAGTAAGTGCTTTGTAAAGTGGTAAATACCCTGAGAGTGAAGAATATCTGTTGATTTGCATTTCCTTTGATGTTGGTACTTTTAGCTGAGTTTGACCTGGGCTAGAGAACCTGGCTAATTGAAAGTCCCACATAATCCTGGGCTGCTAGCCAGTAGCTAGCTGACTCTTTTAGGTTCCTAAGTATCGAAAGTTGGCTAAATGAGCAAGTAAAGCCTCCTATGACATGACCATACAGTTATCCTCATTTACCATTTGCCATTTGGGGAAACTGAGCCCCAAGGAAGTTTGGTGACTTACCCACAGAGCCCTAGGGAGCACCCTACTGAACCTGAGATGATTTTACTTCTAGAAATTGTTCTACCATAGTTTGAATAAAATATGAATAAAAGTTAGTTACTATAATGTTTTGAGCTTCTGCTATGTAATGCACTTGATTTGGTACATTATGTGGGTTGGTTTTACTTCTTACAATAGCCTTAAGAGGTAGGCACTCTCAGTGGCCTCATTTTGCAGTTAAGGAAACTGAGGCATAAACATGGGAAAAAAAACTTTCTGGATTTCCCCTAGCTGGGCAGAGTTGATTCCAGCGCAGAACTGGCCAGCTCTCTGGAGGGCCATCCTCACCATTTTTTCTTTAACCAACCCTCCCCAACATACAGAAGGGCAGGTGGGCCTGAAGTGGGCTTGCTTTCAGGAAGACTGCTTGGAACAGGCCTGAGGAACTATGGCTGGTCAAGGCCATGTCTCTGGAGCTACTGCATAAATCCACATGCTTCTGTTTCTTCCCCAATTCAGCCCTCTCTAAGTTGGCCAAGCTGGCCTCAGGAAGCTGATTTGGAGCAGAATGTGCAAGGCTCATGTTGCAGCTGTCCCTTCTCCTTGAGAAGGGTCTCTAGGGCGGGTATGTGGTTGGCTTCCTGCCTATGTTTTAAGTGGAGAGGAGAAGGAAGAAGCTCTTCCTTTGTAGCCAGCCTTCCACTGGCCCCAGAGTGGCCTAAATCTGGCTCAGGGAGCTGGAATGGCCCCAGCACTTTCTACCACAGTCTGCTTTCTGCCATGATAGCAGCAACTGCAGCAGGCAGCCCCTGCAAGGGACCACAGAGTGGCTTGGGAGGGTTCTCTTAACCCCTAACCCACCTGAAACTCAGCCACACTGGTTAAGGAACATGAGAGTTGTGGGGCCCTGCATTTGGCAGTGTCACTTTCTTGGCAGGACCCCCAGGGAAAGCCAGTCCCAGCCTAGGGGATCTGCAGAGTCTGTCCTTTGCTGTCTCCTTTACTTTCTGCTCCACCTGACTCTCCTGGTGAACTCTTGTGGTCCTAAGTAAAGGCAGCATAACCCATTGAGGAAGGATAGCTTTGGCACCTGTTTGGATAGCAAAGAGGATGCAGAAGAGGCCTAGGGCAGAGGTAGCTAGGTGGGGCTAGGCTAGGGAGCTACCAGCTAGACCCTGCTACCTTCCTTCCCAGTGTTCTGGGTGACATAGGCAGAGACACTGTGAATGGCTGTAGGGGTACACGGCTCTGGGAGAGAGAATGCAGAGTACTAGTTTAAGGCTGGTACCTGCCAGCAAAGATGACCCTGGACTTGGTTAGGAGAAGGGCCTGAACTGGAGGGAGAGAAACTCCATCCCAGGGACACCCTGCCTAATTCATCTATCTCCCCCAACACACACAAAGGACTTTTCAAACCTCTTAGCAGAGGAGTTTGTGTAGATACACACACCTCTTTAAAATCCCCTCATATCTGTCTCCCTCTCAGCGTGGACCAAGGCTGCAAGTCCCTGAGCTTGCCACAGTGAGTGAATAGCTTTCCCAAATGAACAGCCTTTAACAGATGGTCAGTTGCTTCCTAAGAAACTGGGATCTGACCTAGAAGGAGTAATAATAACAGTAATGATAGTCTTTCTCATTTGCACTGTACTATACAGTTTATGAAGTGCTTTTTTTGTGCCTATTATCACATCAAATCGTCACACCACTGTAGTGGGCAGGTAGAAGGATAGGTAGAGGAGCTGTTTTGATCTCAAAATAGCTCACAAGTACCTGAGTTTCAGCAGGCTACATTGGCACATTCAGGGTCCCTTGGCAGATGGGAGGCTGACATGGCCTGGACCCCAGCCCTGTGGTCCATGGCTCCTTCCACAACAAACTGCAGCTCCCTGTGGCAGGAAAGGGGACAATACAGAGAGAGGTGGGTGGGCTGGCCTCTACCCCACAGAGCATAGGAGCAAGGGCAAGGGAAAGCCCAAAGAGACTGTCCTCCAACTGGGGCATCAAGGCTCCGAAAAGCAGCCTTCTTTGTGATTCAATTTGCCTAATCACTCTGTTCCCAGGAACTCCAGCCCCAAACCCAGCAGGACAAGTCAGCCTGTGATTCACAAGGATGTCTAGGTCCGTAAAGTTTTTCACTTGACTCTGAGATTTTCCTTGAGGCCCAGCCTTACTGCCCGAGAAGTGTCTTTCTCCCTTTCACATTTATCTTTGAATATGTTTACAAGGTATAAAGAATGATACTCCACCAACCAGCTTAAGAAATAACGGGCTATTCTTTAAGGCAGCAGTCCCCAACCTTTTTGGAACCAGGGACCTGTTTCATGGAAGACAGGTTTTCCACGGATGGAGAGGGGGAAGGTTTTGGGATAAAACTGTTCCATCTCAGATCATCAGGCATTTGTTAGATTCTCATAAGGAGAGTGCAACCTAGATCCTTGCATGTGCAGTTTGCAATAGGGTTCACGCTGCTATGAGAATCTGCCTCTACTGATCTGACAGAAGGCAGAGCTCAGGTAATGCTCACCTCGCTCTCCTGCCTGCTAGTCACTTCCTGTTGTGTGGTCCAGTTTCTAACAGACTGTTACATGTAGGACTCTCCCTGTTAGCCTAGGAGCTCCCTAGAAGCAAAGGCTGGGAGTTCGCCCTTCTTGGCCTGCCCTGCAGCACTGAATTCCAGAGAGGAATAGAATTTCACAAACAACTCCAGTACTGCCACCCCAACTCCCCTATCCCCAACACCGTGACGATAACCTTACCAGTAATTTTAAGGCTGAGGTAAAAATGTGCTGTGGAAAGTGGGGCATTCAGACATGATAGGACTCCTATTCTCACCAGACCCAGGGGCAGAAAACTGGGTGATTGTGTGTTTAGGTATGATTGTGTGTGTATTTGGAGGTGGGAGGGGGCGCTGTCTATTGTGGGACTATCAGTTGCAGGGCTGAGTTGGAATAGTGTGATGTCAAAATATGTCACAGAAAAATCTCTAACCTGAGCAAATGGCAATGCAGATCTCTGCGGAGAGAGGTTCAAATGAACTTTCCTTTTCACCTGCTCTTTTCTTTTCTGGATAACCAGCTGTTATCTTCCTCCAGTTTTAATATTCAGTTATGTAGAGTGTTCTTTATCACACTGATGATTCAAGTGTCAAGCCAAGCAAGGCAGCAGGCACAAAATTAATGTTTGCCAGACAGAAGCAGGAGCTCCAAGGCTAGAGTGTAGCTGCCAGCCTCTTTCCACACTCATTGCTGGTCCACAGTCTTCCACTTCAGGTGAATGTGTGAATCTTATTACTGTGGCAAGCAATCACAGGCCTGGTGTACCGTCCAGCTGTTCCTGTACCAAGGGTGCTTGCTTCTCTTCCCCTCTCTTCCTCTTCCTTCCCTCCCCTTCCCCTTCCCCTCTCTCCTCTCCTCCCAGATCCCCCATCTGCTGGTGCCACTCTACAGAGAGGGGACACACTGGTGAGGGACTTCCCAGGGAGGGGTCATTGGGTTTTAGCAGGCTGGTCACTGAGCTAGCCGATGACCAGAGGTGCAGAGGTATATTGTGGTGGGTAGTGGCTAGGTCTTGTTTTTATTCCATCTTTGTTGATATTTGGGCATTTGGAGGATTGAGAGTCTTAACCAGAAGGGTGTGGCTTGCACCAGATTTATTTATTTAAAAAGTTATTGGGAACCTATCTCACACACCAGGAATATGAATCACATAGGGCCTTCAAGAAGTTCCCTTCCTAGATAGGGAACTAGATGGGGACAAAAAATAATAAGAGGAGGAGAGTAGAGGAGAAACAGTCCACCTCATGGTTCTCAAGGGGAATTTGGGGTTCCATTGATGACCACATTAAAATATCTTCCCAACAGGACAGCCAATAGAGGGTCTGGCTTAGACCCACCCTCATATCACCTCTCTGAGGGAGAGATGTTGATAGGCCTCTTGGATGGCGAATATTGAAGCCCAGAGAGTACCTTTCTTGAGGCTCCCATTTCATTTTCTTAGCAGGTCCTAGATTGCAAACCTAGTTTTCAGATCTGTGAGGCTCCTGTTCTGAGATTCTGAAGCCTGAGCATGGTTCTGTAGGCAATTTAGGAAGCTATGGATGGGAGGTGAAACTTCAAGTCCACTTTTCAGTCTCAGATGAAATGTCAGTGAGAGCCCAGACTAATGTGAAACTGAAGCTTGACTCCAACAGAACCCTGTGAGGACTCAATAGACTTTTGCCAGATACTTTTCAAAAATTCTGTGATGTTGGAGCCAACATCCCTTTTTCTTTTCTTGTCTCTCCCTATCCTCATCCCCTTTGATAATTGATAATACCTCCCGCAACCAATAGCACCACTAGGCCTTTCACACAACTGCAGGTCCCCCTGCCAGTGGTCCCCTGAGCTTAGGATGGTCTGAAGGAAGTGGACCCAGCAAGAAGGTAGTGGGTGAAGGCTTCTTGTTGCTCAGTGTAGAGTTTTGCTGCCTTGGGGCCCAGAGGGAGCTGGCCCAGCAAGCCAAGCATATCGAGTGGATTAAGATTTGCCCCACATTTTCCCTTACTTTCTTTCTCGTTCCGCTCAAGCCTGATGTCCCGTGAAAGCAAACCCAGCCTGGATGCTTGCTCACTAGTATCTGTCTCTCTGTCTTTGTCTCTCCTATCTCCTCCAGACCGCACTGTGATGCTTCCTGACTGATAATGTTATAACAGTGCCTGGAAGCCTGAGGCTGAATTTCCAGCTGGACGTACCTCAGTTGTCCCCATCATCATGGAGACCCAAAAGGATGAAGCTGCTCAGGCCAAGGGAGCTGCAGCCTCTGGGAGTACCCATGAACAAACGACAGAAAAAGGAGCCAAGAACAAGGCAGCTAAGGCGATAGAAGGACCAACATCAGAGCCATCCTCATCCGGCCCAGGTAGGCTGAAGAAAACTGCCATGAAACTCTTTGGTGGCAAGAAGGGTATCTGTACTCTGCCTAGTTTCTTTGGAGGGGGACGGAGCAAAGGTTCTGGGAAAGGCAGCTCCAAGAAAGGTCTCAGCAAGAGCAAGACCCACGATGGCCTGAGTGAAGCAGCCCATGGCCCTGAAGATGTTGTCAGTGAAGGAACTGGCTTCTCCCTGCCTTTGCCTGAATTACCCTGCCGATTTCCCAGCTCTCAGAGTGCCCATGGGGCTTTGGAGACAGGCTCCAGATGTAAGACGTCTGTGGCTGGAGCCACAGAGAAAGCTGTGGCCGAGAAGGTTCCATCTATGCCCAAGCCAAAGAAAGGCCTAAAAGGCTTTTTTAGCAGTATCCGCCGTCACCGGAAGAGCAAGGTCACTGGGACTGAGCAAAGTGAGCCAGGGGCCAAGGGGCCTGAGAGGGTCAAAGCCAGGCCTCATGAGCATGTGAGCTCAGCCCCTCGGGTGCCCTGCCCTGAGGAGACCTTCCAAGCCCCTAGAAAGGAAAATGCTAACCCCCAAGATGCCCCTGGGCCAAAAGTTTATCCAACACCAGAGCCTTCTCCACTAACCACTGAGACAATGGCCTGTAAAGATCCAGAAAAACCCATGGAGGCCTGTGCCTCAGCACATGTGCAACCCAAACCTGCCCCTGAATCCAGTAGCCTAGAGGAACCCCATAGCCCAGAAACAGGGGAGAAGGTAGTAGCAGGAGAGGTAAACCCACCCAATGGCCCTGTGGGGGACCAGCTGAGCCTCTTGTTTGGGGATGTGACATCCCTGAAAAGCTTTGACTCATTGACAGGTTGTGGTGACATTATAGCAGAACAGGACATGGACAGTATGACAGACAGCATGGCCTCTGGGGGCCAGAGAGCAAACCGAGATGGGACCAAGCGAAGTTCCTGCCTGGTGACCTACCAAGGAGGTGGGGAGGAGATGGCCTTGCCAGATGATGACGAGGAGGAGGAAGAGGATGAAGAGGTAGAATTAGAGGAGGAAGAAGAGGAGGTTAAGGAGGAGGAAGAAGATGATGACTTAGAATATCTGTGGGCAACTGCTCAGATGTATCCAAGGCCCAATATGAACCTGGGCTACCATCCCACCACATCCCCAGGCCACCACAGCTACATGCTCCTTGACCCAGTTAGGTCTTATCCTGGCCTAGCCCCTGGGGAACTTTTGACTCCTCAGAGTGACCAGCAAGAATCCGCCCCCAATAGTGATGAAGGTTATTATGACTCCACCACACCTGGATTTGAGGATGATTCAGGTGAGGCCCTGGGGCTTGTCCGCAGGGATTGTCTACCCCGAGACAGTTACAGTGGAGATGCCCTATATGAGTTCTATGAGCCAGATGACAGCCTTGAGAACTCTCCACCTGGAGATGACTGCCTTTATGACCTCCATGGTCGAAGCTCTGAGATGTTTGACCCCTTCTTAAACTTTGAGCCCTTTTCTTCCTCCCGGCCACCTGGGGCAATGGAGACAGAGGAAGAACGGCTAGTGACCATCCAGAAACAGTTGTTGTATTGGGAGCTTCGGCGGGAGCAGCTTGAGGCCCAGGAGGCACGCGCCCGAGAAGCTCATGCCAGGGAGGCCCACACCAGGGAGGCCTATACTCGAGAGTCTCATGGCAGGGAAGCCTATGCCAGGGAGGTCCACACTTGGGAAGCTCGTGGCAGGGAGGCCAGAACCCGAGAAACCCAGGCCCGAGAGGCTCGTTCTAGAGAGACTCAAGTCCGAGAGGCCCAGGCCCGGCAGGAGAAGCCCGTCTTAGAGTATCAGATGAGGCCCTTAGGCCCATCAGTGATGGGCCTGGCAGCAGGGCTATCAGGGACCTCTCAGATTTCCCACCGGGGAATTACCTCAGCTTTTCCTACCACTGCAAGCAGCGAGCCAGACTGGAGGGACTTCCGTCCTCTTGAGAAGCGTTATGAAGGAACATGCTCCAAGAAAGATCAAAGTACCTGCCTAATGCAGCTCTTCCAGAGTGATGCCATGTTTGAGCCAGATATGCAAGAAGCAAATTTTGGAGGATCTCCCAGGAGGGCCTACCCTACTTATTCACCCCCTGAAGATCCAGAGGAAGAGGAGGTTGAGAAGGAAGGAAATGCCACTGTGAGTTTCTCACAGGCCCTGGTAGAGTTCACCAGCAATGGGAACCTCTTTTCCAGCATGTCCTGCAGCTCTGACTCTGACTCATCTTTCACTCAAAACCTCCCTGAGCTGCCTCCCATGGTGACCTTTGACATCGCTGATGTGGAACGGGATGGGGAAGGCAAGTGTGAAGAGAATCCTGAGTTCCACAATGATGAAGATCTTGCAGCCTCCTTGGAAGCCTTTGAGCTGGGCTACTATCACAAACATGCCTTCAACAACTACCATAGTCGATTCTACCAAGGCCTGCCCTGGGGTGTGAGCAGCCTCCCTCGATACTTGGGACTGCCTGGCCTGCACCCTCGACCTCCACCTGCTGCTATGGCCCTCAACAGGAGAAGCCGCTCTCTCGACACTGCAGAGACCCTGGAGATGGAGCTCTCCAATTCCCACTTGGCCCAGGGCTACCTGGAGTCTGATGAGCTGCAGGCCCAGCAGGAAGATTCAGATGAAGAAGACGAAGAGGAGGAAGAAGGAGAATGGAGCCGAGACAGTCCACTTTCCCTCTATACTGAACCCCCAGGGGCTTATGATTGGCCTGCTTGGGCTCCCTGCCCTATTCCAGTGGGGCCAGGTCCTGCCTGGGTAAGCCCTAACCAGTTGGACAGACCTTCCAGCCAGTCTCCATATGAGCAGGCAACCTGTTGCATACCTCCTATGACCACGTCAATGTCACTATCAGTGCCAGAGTCAAGGGCACCTGGGGAATCCGGGCCTCAGCTAGCTCGTCCCTCACACCTACACCTGCCCATGGGCCCTTGCTATAACCTCCAGCCACAGGCCTCCCAGAGTGTGAGGGCCAGGCCTCGAGATGTGCTGCTGCCTGTTGATGAGCCCAGTTGCTCTTCCAGTTCTGGAGGCTTCAGCCCCAGTCCTCTACCACAGGCCAAGCCTGTGGGCATCACCCATGGCATTCCTCAGCTGCCCAGGGTCCAGCCTGAGCACCCCCAGCCTCAGCTCACTCACTATGGACCTTCCAGCCTTGACCTGTCAAAGGAGAGGTCCGAGCAAGGTGCCTCTCTTGCCACCAGCTACTCCTCCACTGCCGTGAATGGAAACCTAGCCAAGTAGTTATCATCAGTTCTGGAGTAGAGGCACGGGGCCTGAGCATGTGAATGGGGATCAGGGGTTGGGCAGAGGGGTGGGGGGGTGGGGGTTGCTGTTTAACTTGAAAACCCTTTGGGCCAAGGAAAACTCCTATGAGTTTTCACCTTGGTTTTCCCACTTCCCTCTTCTGCCATCTATGGCCACGTTCAACTCAAGTGCATCTGCCCAGGGAGGCTGCTGCTGCTACTGCACTCCAGTTTTTGCTTTTGAGGTTTCTTCTTGTGACCCCATGCTGGGTTTGGGATGCTGTAATTTTGTGCCTATTCCAGTTGCCAAGTTAGTGATTATATATATATGTATATATATACACACACACACACATATATATATATATGTATATACAGACACACACACACACGCACACACATATTTAGCATGCATCCTTGACACAGGCTAAACCTTTAGCGCTCCCTTCCCGTTTCCCCCAGTGAATGATGAACCACTGATTAGCTGCCAAGTCTGCATTGCCTCCCACTTGGGGAAGTGGGGCTTATTTGCTATTAGCAATGTGAAATTATGGTACAGATCCTCCCCACCCCTATTCCTTCTAGCCTTGGCATAGCTGCCATCATTATATCAGATGACTATAAGCTATTCATCCCAGCTAGCTGTCCTTAGGATCAAGTAGCATGTGTCTCACAGCCTATCACTGTGGACTTCGGCATCATGACCAGATGGGGGCCTTTTAACCTGTCCTGCCATAGCTTGGGTTAAAGACAAAAACGCTAATCCCCTTGATGGAGCGATAAAATTCATCCATTTGCAAACAGAAGACAAAACAAAGTTCTGTTGTGGACACTGCCATAGAGTCTTGAGCTCTGGAATGATAGGATTTTTTTCTTTCTTTCTTTTAAGCCTGTGACTACCTGAGTTGCAGAAACTTTTGAATTTTTGCTCTTTTTTCCTCTAAAGGAAGTTTTCATAATCTCATCACAAGGAACTTGGTCTTTTAATTGAGATAAGGGAAGAGAAGCAACCTAAATTAGGCTTGACTATAGGGGCTGGGGTTTTTGTGGGGTGTAGGGGAAAGATAGAAAATGAGGGTCCTTTTATCACAGCCAGCAAGAGAGGGGATTTCAGACTTTGCAGAGCTTGAGGTATCTCAGTTTCTTAAGAGGGAAAACTACTCCCTTCTCAAGCCTCCCAACACAAAAAGTTCCTTAAGCCTTGCCCACCCCATCATTTGAACTCTGCAATAAGGCCCCAGCTTTGCACTCCCAAGACAGGATACCAAAGGCATCTCAGCTGCTGTTCTGGGCCCTTTAAAGAGCTTTTATCTTCCAATTAGCCAAGTCCTCAGCATCATCAAAGGACAGGGCTTCTTGGCAGTTGCAGCCCTTTATGGAATGAATGGCACCCTCCCTTCTCCTGCATCCATGCAGTTTTCATGTTAAACTAGGTTGGAAATACTGGTGGAGAAGAGCTTGCTGTCAGGAAGCCACTGGAACAGGCTAATCTTGCCAAGCCCAACCTCTCATTAGTCACCTATAGGAGAGGGTTCCTTTTACATGTCTTTATTGGAAATGGCATATGGAACATTTTTTGCTTGGCTGTGTTCACTCAAATTATGATTATTGCACCTCCACCCCCACATCCCACCGTCTCCATGCCTGTTGAGAGAAGAAGTCAACAGGGTTCTTGCCATTCCTGAGATACAGCATTTTAGCTTGGAAACAGATGCTGTTTGCCCTCTAAGTCAAGTTGACTTTGTGGGCAAACTGTTTCTTGGCCAGGGGATGTGTCCATGCTGGTCTTTGTCACCATTTCTCAGATTGGGGTTGGCCGTTACTCACAAATTATAGCAGACCTGGCTGGTAGAAGCTGCACCCCTGGAAGCACCACATGAATTTGCATGGCACTAACACCACCACTCAAGGGACCCAGACCAGCTCTTCAAGCTGACTTTGGCTACAGATACATTGTGAAGAAATGTGTCTATTGTGGAGCTGGAGAATGAAAGAGGGTGAGGAAGGCCCTCCTTACCCCAAGCACAGCATTCCAAGAGAGAAGTGCCCAAATTCCAACTTTCTGGCCTCTTACCAAAGCTGCTCTGGGACGGTGGGGCTGAAATTGGCCTGGCTGTTTGGCAGGAAGTAAACACTCACCAAATGCCTTTACAACAGGGAAAAACCCACCTCTTGCCTCTTCTTTCAGGGCAGCTTGAGCTCCTGTCTACATGTGGACTGTGCCAGCCACAGCAGGCAGTAGAGCCATCACCAGCCTCCAGACCCTGCTGGAGAAGGGCCACCAGCCTATCTGGGAAGAGAAAAAGGAGGTGGTCAACCTTTGGCTAAGGGCTGAGAGCTGCCCTCAGGGTTAGGAAGGCAGCATGAGGCATTGTCTCTGAGGGGCACTGGCATAGCCCTGACACATTTGATGGGCTTTGGAGGGTCACACACCACAGAGTAGGGCCTGGGGCTGAGTGAGAGTTCATGGTTTGGACAGCCTTGCTGCCTGCAAGTCCCTTCACTGCCCTAGCCAGCCCAGGGATAGGATCCTTACCACCTGAAGTGGGGCAGCCAAGATATGTGGCTGCAGAAGCAGGTTCCTTTGAATCTCTAGCGCTAAGCAGTTTATGGCTGAAATCCAACTGCAGCCTTGAGGAGGAAGGAAGACCTGTCTGGGCACCCATGGTGATGACAGCACAAGGTGACACTGGGAGAGCCAGCCAAGCTTCAGGCCTGTTTCCAAACACAGACCAGTGCTGACTTGGTTGGCAGCAAATACGCCCCAGACCACTAAAACTGTTGATATCATGTCCACACCTCCAAGACTATGACTAAATGAACACCATGTCTCCATTGCAAGGTCCTAGAATAACGCTTTTGGATGTGACTTTAAGAGAAAATGGGACTTAGTGAAAGCAGCTGCCTTCATCTTGTTACCCAGTAGGCCTAGTGCCAGACAGCTGTGATCCTGAGAATTCCCAGATGAGACTGATCCTTGGAGAACCAGTGAATGTGGATAGAGAAGGCTACCTAGTAGGCCCCTCCCAAGGCCAGGATGCCAGTTTCTTGGTGCTTTAGCGTCTCCAAGGAAGCACTGCCTTGGGGCCCAGTTCAAGCCAGCCTTACCTATCTGGCCTCAACTTGGGTACCAGGCCACAAGACTGCCCGGATAATGGGTTCAGTAAACACCCGTCTCTCTCCCTCCTTAGTCCTATGACAAGAAGGGAAGTAGCTTCACACACTCAGGAGGCTGGGTATGTACCCTTCATCCTGCTGCCAGCAGCTTTCCTTACCTGTGCCAGTGCCACCACCCCACCTGCCCTCAGCCCCCAGGCCCAGTTGCTAGAGGGAGGCATGGGGTTTAGCAGGGAGACTTCAAGTTTACCCATGTGTATGTTGCATTCAAGTTGTTTTTAATATATATATATATCAAAAGTCAATTATCTATTTTTATATTGTTTGCATTTTATATTCATGGAAAACAATGTTTATCAATTGTTCTTTTCTGATTTATTTTTAAGCGGTGCTGTTTACAGTTTTAAACAAAACAAAGATGACACAAAAATTGCTGCTGCTTGTGCAGAGGGCTGGCATCTCAACTGCCTAGGGCCCTCCCTCTTTCCCCTCTCCCTACGTTAGCTGTATCACACTGTCCATTCCCTCCCCTCATGACAGGGACAGCAGAAGATGCCCAGGTACTGAAGACAAACGCCAGGTGACTCAGGCGTGTGGGACCTGGTAGACAGCTTGTCATTTTCTGGCTTTATTTTATGTTTTTCTTTCTTTTGAACCCTCCTTCCCCATGTCTAGACCTTCTGAGAGTACTCATGTGCCTTTTTTTTTTTTTTTTTTTCCTCTTTATGTTTTGTGCTTTTGTTTTGAAATCAGAGTGCCCATGTTGTGCTATTTGTCTTGTTGAGTTTCTCCAAAGGAGCATTTTGGGGACATTCTCCACCAAATGGGGAAGGCAGGGGGTTTCAACCATGTCCCCTTTCCCCGAGAAGCTGTGGGAGACAGATGACAATGATGCTTGCACTATCAGGAATTTACCATCTCGTTGAGGAAACCCTTGCATAGGACTTCCTAGGAGCTCAGTTGATTGTGACATTTGCCCAGAAGAGGCTTTGGGGAACTCCTTCACCCCTCTTGCTGCTTTGGGGGAATATCTTCCCCTACCACCATTCCCCCTCCCCTGCCCTGCTCCAGCTCACACATGGATGGTACTTTGGGGAACAGTGACTTTCAGGGTGATGGCTTGCTGGCCTGATCCCCAACTTTCCAATCCTATAGTCACTCCAAAGAAGAAAATCCACATGGTATGTATATGTGTGAGGGTTGGGTCTATCGAGAGGTGGGACTTTAATTATTGTTATTATTATTGGTGCTTATTTTTCCTGCTGTATATGGGGGTGGGGGTGGGGGAATAAAACAGGAATGTATATTTAGGTCATGTTAAATAAAATGGCTGGAGGAAGGAGGGAAGAAATTAGGAACTGCAGTACATCATCACCCCAGGTGTAAGAGTTATTTCTCTCCCAGTGCAGAAAGGGGAGTGTGGCCCCTGGCTGTACCTGAGCTTCCTCTTCTCCATCCCTGAGACATCACAGAATCACCTGGGTTCTGACCTCTCCACTTCTAGCTCTCACTGACATCTGGATATCTGGATGCACTGCCTGTTTGTAACAACATCTTTGCTGAATGCTAATAAACTTCTGGGTTCAAGAGGGAACCCCTCAGTCACTAATGTGCATTCTTGTGGTTTGTTCCACAGTAGTGTGCCTGTAACCCATGGTTGTTGAGATTGCCCTTGGAGAGAAATTGAGAAACCAAGGAGGTGGTGGGTGGAGGTGGAATGGGGAGAACCTAGCAGGGGAAACAGAAGCCAGGGCTGAAATTGAAAGTAGAGGAAATTGCAGTTTTTCATCCAAGCCATGCCTTACATCCCAGTCTGATGCCATATTGGTAAACTCTATCACACCTTCTATGCCCTAAGACCTGCCCCTGAAGTCCCTGTGCACTGCCAGGGGCTGGCTGGCACTTGTAAAATTAGCCTCAATTTCTGCAAGTATGCGATCTCCCTACCAGCCAGGAGACAAAGATGTGTACCTCCTGCTGATGGCTCAATCAAAAGGTTATGTCTAATGGTGGGACCAGCAGGCCAAGCTGCAGGAATGGCATCTTTTATCCAGGCCTATGGGCAGAGATGCTGGCCAGATAGCTGCCTGCCCCACCTATTCAGCTGTTGGGCTGGGTGGGGGAATGTGGCTTCTGCCACTTATTGCAGGGCATCTTATCCAGTGAGCATCAGTGGTATACCACAGCAACAATCAGTCACCTTGGGGACATGTGCTGATTTCCAGGCCTGTCCTAGCCTAGGTAGGAATCACTTGCCACTTTCTGTTACCACACAAATGCCTACTTGTGCCACCAACCAAGAGAAGGTGATTGTGCTCATGGCTTTGGTTTCTCTAATCCAGATTCTTACCCTTGGTCCCTGGCAAGCAAGGGCATCTGGCACCTGCTGTAGATGCATTCCTGAGTTCCCCCCAACTGCAATCTCTAAGCAAGCCACAGTTGCTTGAAAGTGCTGTGGGCAGTGCTGCCATGGATATAATTGAAGGGATCCTTAGGGCCCCTTCCCAGACCAACAAAGAAGCTTGGTGGCCCTCAGTATTTCATGAATCAAGCAAAGCCAATTAAAAGCAAATTAGCAAGACAAAAAAAAGAGAAACTTATGGGAGGGGAGTTGATATTTCATAGAAATTGGATTAACTCTCCTGGGCTGTCCAGGGAGGGAAGGAGCAGGCATGGTTGCTAAAGGAACTTTTGGAGCAAGAACCTCTGGGAAAGTCCATAAAATCTCACTATATCCATTAGAAATTCATAGGGGTCCTGGAGTCTGAGAGGCCTGGATTTCTGCCCAATTTTTGCCCCCATTTAATCAACTGGGCCATGGGCAAATCTCATCTTTGGCAAATCTTGGGCTAGATTTTACTTGACTAGTTCCCATATGTAAGTCAGAAGACTGGGCTACCTCAAATGACTCAGGATGTTTTCAACTGCCTAAGTGCAGGATTTCTCACCCTGATTCTGACTCAGGTGGCCTGGGAGGGAGTATTTATTGTTTTACCCACATGATGCTGGTGTGTTGAACCTGCTGGACAAGAGCTCTTCCTGTTCTGCCATGACAGATGGCTGCCTTTGCTGTGGTCCCCTGAGGAGTGCTTTGCAGTGCTTTTTGGGGTGGGGGGCCGGAGGGGTGGGTGGTGTTAATGGAGGTAATTTCTTAAGAATTTCCTTTTGTCATCAAGAAATTCACTTTGGTCAGCTCCAGCACTGTTCTATGGCCTGCTTGAGGGCTGGGGTTGTGCCTAGCAAGTGGTCTGCCCTTGTTCCCAGTTAATGTTTAAAGCAGACGTAAATCCAACAGATAAGAGCTTTTTGTAAGCCTTTTGGAAACTGCTGTGGGCAAGCTGCTAGTTTTCCACTGCCCCACTCCCAAGGAGGTTGACTGGGCTGTGGGCCCTACTGATCATGTTCTTCCTTTACTTAACAACTCCTAGGCTTTAGCTGAGCTGCCTGGCTTCTGGGAGCCAAAACTAGCCAGTAAGAGCAAGTGACCGGAGGGTGACATTTTGTAGTTTGCAAACTCCTTCCATCTTTGTTATCTTCTAAATGGCCCTACAAAGTAGATGAAAAGAGCAGGTAATTTCATCCCATCTTTGTAGATGAATAAATAGAGTCATGGAGAAGTAGAGTGACTTGTTCATGGTTATGCAGAATACCGACTGCAAGTCAGTGTGGAAAAGATGGTAGGGCAGGCTGGGTTAGAAGAGGTGGTAGAAGAGAAAGTTTACTGCTAATAATTCTCCAAGCACAGAATGAATAATATCATTGATATGTGCGGGACACTAAACACTACATTTTCTTGTGTAATCCTCAACTTAACCCTATGAAGTTGACATTTGTTGTTATCCCTATTTTCAGATGAGAAAACTGAGACTCAGAGAGGTTAAGTCCCTTTCCAAAATTCACCCAACTAGCTCACTGGACTCCAAATCTTGTGCTTTTACCGTTGCACTTTTAGTGAAGCTGTCAGCTGAACATTAGGGGTAACTCACAGCAATGGTCCCAGCAGCTGGCCTCAGGTCAGAGCATCCAAAAGCTGAAAGAGACTGCTAGCTGCCTCCCTATCCCACTGTGCCCAGCCCAGCCTCCAAGCTCCAAGGCCCCCACCCCCAGTCAGCAGGGGAGCTTGGTGGCTGTGGCCCTGGTGGAGTCCAGGGTGGGACTCCCATCCCCCTCCCAACCCCCAGCCTTGGATCTCTGAGAATTGTTTCCCTCCAGGTGAGCTCAACACTACTCTCACTTAAATCTTCTAATAAGTGGCCTGGGAAAGATGATGAATGGCAGAGTGAGTCAATAGACATGAGCACTTAGATGCCTGGAGACAGGGCCTCCCACCACTCAGCTTTCACCACTCAGACCTTTATCATCAATTGGAGCGCTGCCTCATGAGGTGCTACTTAATTGTAAATCACTTAATAGCCACAGTGGGAAATAGTCTCTTTCTTTGGGGGAATAATTGCTATCTGATGGGCTCTTGAAGGCTGTTCTTTGTTCCCTCAGTTTCTCTCCTACTTTCCCACTCGCTCCCTCTGGATGCCTGAGAACATTTTCTCTCCTCCTTCCAGCCTGTGGGGCACTTCATGCAGCTTTCCAAGGGCTCCTGTGCAGCACCCATCACCAACAGGAAGTGGATGCTCTAAGTAATGTTATGTCCTTTGAGAGGCCGAAAGTGGGATGGGCATCCATCTGCATCTTCAGACTCAGATGTGTTAGGGCAAGAAACAGCCATTGTTTGTTTTCTTTGAAGTAACTGAATTCTGACCCCAGACTCCCCATCCAAACAGGGAAGTGGGAAATTCCATGTCAGTCATGACTGGGAGTCCCCACTCCCTCAAGGGTGGCACTGGAATCCAGGGACTATTTGTGGTTCTCAAAAACCAGGTCAAGGGCAACTAATCTCCCATCTGTTCCAGTCGTCACTGACACCGTCATTTTTTACACTAATAGTAGGGGAAGGAAAGCTAAGAGCCCCGAGATCTTAGGTTCTTCCTCCCTCTGAGCACCTTAGGACTATGTCCACCCTCTCCTTGAGGAGGAGGTTCTACAGCTAAGGGTTCCTACAGTCCCAGACTCAGGAACTCTCCCTTCCCAGCTGGGGCTGGGAATGGTAGGAATCTTTCTTCTTTTCTCTCTCTGGGCTCTCAGAAGTCTCTTCCATCTTTCCTTTGCCTGTAGGATATTATGTCTTCACTGTGGTTTGGGGGGTTTTATAAAAGAATGATAGATTTAGTGGCTTCGGTCTGCTTCTTCTTTCTACACTGCAAAATCCTTCTTTTAAGAGGTCTGTCAAGGGCCTGATTACCTCCATGAAGCAGAAAAATGGGGAATGGGGACATAAGGAGACAACATACACAAACATAAATATTTTAGAAATTACTCTGCCACAGAAAACTTTCTCATTGGCGAAAAAAGTGATTTCACTATCCTAGAACTCAAGACCCCAAGATTTTAGTCATTGCTCTTCCCGTAACTCTTGGGAACTTGGGTGATTTCTCAGTCTCAGTTTCCTCACTGTAAATGTGGGGGGCTGGGGTTGGAGAACATAGAATTTCGAGCTGCAGTTCTTTTCTCACCCTGCCCCTTTTGATGCTTGAAGTCCCCTTGTACACCATGTGTCCTCTGCCTGCTCACTGCAGCTGGCATAGACTCCTGGAGAAGTTTTAATACCTGAGATGCCCCTTCTTATATTGAGCTGGAATTGGCCTAGCTTAGTTCTTGGGTGCCACACAGATCTTGTCTGCTATCTACCCCATCATAGCCCTTCCAGATCTGAAGGCAGAGGTGGTATTCTTTGGATCAATAAATATTATTGAGTGCCTGTTTTGTGTCAGACTCTGTTCTCCATGCCAAGCATATGGAAGTGAACAAGAGAGATAAAACCCTTACCTTCACAGAGCTTACTTTTTTGTGAGAGTAGGGAGGCAGAAAATAAAATAAAATAGTGTGTCAAATGATGATAGGTACAAAGGAGAAAAATTAAGTAGGGGAGGAGAGACAGGGGTTGCAATTTAAAATAGAGTGGTTAGAGAAGACTCACTGAGCAGGTCACATTTGAGACAAGAGCTAAGGCTCTGAGGTGAGAGCATATAATGTATTGGAGGAACAAACATGAGCCCAGTATGGCTGAACTAGAGTGAGTGAGGGGGACAATGCTAGGAGACGATATCATAGAGGTAGTGTTGGGGCTAGGGGGATGAAACAGGGCCTTGTAGACAATTGTAAATACATTGTAAAGACTCCTGAGGTGGGAGCAGTGACATGAGCTGACTCAAGTCACCTGTAGAGGTGTCTTTTCCATGCCTAACTAGCTTCAGCTCTGTCTTAGTCCATTTGGCCTGTTATAACATACTCAGTAGCTTATAAACAACTGAAATTTATATCTCACAGTTCTGGAGGCTAGGTAGCACAAGATTAAAGTGCCAGCAGATTCAGTGTCTAGTGAGGCCCACTTCCTCATAGATGGTGCCCCTTCTTGCTTTTTTTCCCTCAGATGAAGTCTCATTCTGTTACCCAGGCCAGAGTACAGTGGTGTGATCTCATCTTACTGCAACCTCCACCTCCTGGTTTTAAGTGATTCTACTGCATCAGCCTCCTGAGTAGCTGAGATTACA